GGGGGGGCGGTCATAAGACGATCACGGGTGGGTGGGTACGGCAGCCGGATAGAAGAGACTTGGATATTGTTCGACGGTATAAGTAGGGACGCTGAGAGGGGCATTTTTACATCTGTGATTTGAGTATACGAGCCTTGACTAGGGGATCACGATCTAGACAGCCATAATTCGTGAAGTACATCCCCAAACGAAGTGAATACCATGTAAGCAAGAAAATGCGCTTTAGCTCGAGACCTTCACGGACAGCAAGTCAACAATTTTCTCGATAGGTCAACTTCCTTCAGTTCTTCAATTATCATGCTCTATGTTTCCTCCCACCTGAATCATAACTCATAACATCATGTGAACCGAGAACGCCTTGCCAACCCTGCCTGCTAACGCGAAACTCCCTGCAAAATGAAAAATGTGACATCGGAGTCCTCTCAAAAACAGACACCCTTTGGTCTGCGAAATTATCGCGACTCCAAAGAAAAAGATAAAGGAAAAAGAGACCTCCCACCCAGCCGTCAATCCATCCTCAAACCCTCCCCACGTTTTCGGTTCCTTCAACCAAAGTATCATCACTCCCAATCGTGTGCCCCTCATCTCTCTTCATCTTCCGCAACCTTCCCCTCGGCACCAAGATCTTCCTGCCTTGTGGACGTTCCTCGCGAGTAGTATGGGGTTGGCCTTCCTATTTACCAATGCCCATCCACACAAACGTGCCCAACGTCGAAGCCGCCAACAGAAACGTCACAATGCCCGCCCCCGCCTTATCCGCCGTCGTCACCGGTTTATCATGCGTAAAGCTGTCGCTCTGGCTCCCGGCATTCGGGTTCCCCTTGCTGGTTCCACCGGTACTATTGGTCACCGGGGCCTTTCCGGGTTGTTCAATCAACAAGGAAGAAACCGCTCCCAGGACATTCATCTGCTGACCCACCCCGTGACTGCCGTCGTACTTCTTTTTTTTCCAGCTGAACCCGCACATGCGGCCGTTTTGTTCGCCGGTGCACGTTTGGACAGCGGCTTCGGCCGAGGTCTTTAGCACGGGCAGAATGACGGGGGCCGTATGCGGCGCGATTTGCGTGGTGATGGATAGCCAACGGTGCACGTAGCCCTTGAAGGAGAGCATGTCGGTTGTGCAGCTCATTTGGTCTTCGCAGGCGGGCTCGAAGGCGATATTGTCGGGGAAGAAGCGGACGAGGGTGGCGTTGAGGAGCTTATCGAGGCGGTCCTTCCAGACGGGGGAGCCGTCGGTCTGTATAGTGTTAGTCTAGGGGCGATAAACAAAACGGCATGTGTGTAGAGCACGAACATAGTTGTACATGTGGGCGGCGCCGAGGACAAAGACGCCAGAGTTGTAGGAAAACTGAGCATTGTTGATATCGGTGCAGTTCGTTTCGACGTGAGCGCCGTCGTGAATGCTGTAATTGTCGTCCATGAGCCCGACACCCCTCATCCAGTCCCACGTCGTTTCGGCCCAGTCGGCGTATGTCTTGTTTCCGGTGTAGCGCGCCAGTCTGGCGCCGAGGTTGAAGAAACAGCCTGTACCATGTTGGGTCAACTCAAGATCCACAAGATTTAGCGAGTGCTGTTGTCACAAACCATTGGCAATGCTGTTCTTGTAGTTGTATCCGTTGTTGAGCGGGGGAATCTGCCAGCGCAAGCCACCATTGCAGGTTTTATCGTGTCTATCGGGGTTTGCCTGTGTGTTGAAGACAGCCTGGGCGAGGCCCAGCCACTGTGGTTGATCGGCTGGTGGATTGGGAAAATTGTTTTCGGCGGCTGTCATGGCCGTCATTCCCCAGAAGCCCTGATCATCGTTTCCTAGGGATGCGGTCACGTTGAGTGGCATGTAGTCCTGACCTGGGCCAACCTGCCAGAGGAGGGCTTGGGTGATAACATCGTTGTATGACGCGTCGCCAGTGAATCTCCAGTAGTCGATCAAAGCCCCCCACATTGCGCCTGCTTCCCACCAGTAGTAATCACCGGCTGGAGGAGGGCCGGGGAGGATTCCTGGTGTTTGTCCCGTCAAGTTCCCTTTGTAGTATTGCATCATGTCGAATGCGATGTCGGCTGATGTCTTTTTGATGTCGGCTGCGCACGTCTGTCAGCACTCATATGCCATTTTCTGCGTTTCGGGGATAAACGAGCGTACCGACTGTCGCGATACTATAGGCGGCATTTGCGAGGTCAACCCCAACAAGGGCGACGGCGGCAAGCCGTGGTAATGGCGAAAGCATGATGATGGTGTGCTGACAATAGCGAGCGACTAGAAACCGAAATCAAAGAAACGAGCGTGGTGATTGATGAGTGTTGGTTGGTTTTGGATTAGATGGCGAGCATCGGTTATCGGGCTTTGAGGTTCGTTGCTGTGGTAAGGACGCAGGTAATGGATGGGGAGGGAGCGGGTAGGTGATTTGGGAGAAAGTTTCGTTGTAAGTGCTACCCTACTACTGCTCCACCGGTTATCAACCTACCTCAGTAGAGGAGGTTTGCAGTGGCAGTGCAGTGCCTTTGTGCGATGGCCAGTGGTTCTGCCGGTGTGATAGCTACTACATCCGTGTTGTTGCCGACGAGAAGATGCCGTGCCCGCCCGGATGGGATGGGCAACAACAATGGATCGATGGGATAAACAGGATGTGATGATTCTAAGGTACCAGGGTAGTATTTAGTATGTACTAGGAACGCAACACACACAATACGAGGGCGGATGACGCATGTCTAACACTCATGTCAGGAACAGGGCATATCACTAGCAAGGTGGGTCGGTTTGATCAAGTTGATTGCTTCTTCTGCCGATAGGTAGTGTAGTGTAGACAGAACCAACGTGAGGTGATCCCGTCATCTACTATAGTATGTATCTAGGTTTGATGGTAAGTTGGTTGTTACTCGACATTTCTCGACACGGGAGCAGTTGGTGAATCCCATCGTGTTTCCTCAACCTTCCAATTCTTACTGAATTTGTATTTTGAAGAAATTTCAGAAAACAAGCTTCCTCGCCACGCTTGTGCCGGACTCGGCTTGCTTGGCGATCTCCTGCCAAGGACACGATGATCAACAAGCTCAAGGGCACAAGACGCTGTCCTGGCTCTGTCGTTGGTCAGTCATTTCAATCCCGGACAGACAAGAGAAACAGTTCTGCGATATGGGTCAGCGAATGAAAGACGCAGTCGACAGCTGAAAGCGGGCACTTTTTCCGCTTCCCTTCGTTGCTACCCGTGCAAGCCGTGCTACCCCCATATCCAGGGTTAGGGTCAGACTGTGGAAAGTGGAGCAAGCGGAGGTTACTGGTTCCAACCCCACGCGGGGGAGCTGGAATCCTAGTGTAGTGTAGACCCCAGAGCGGGAACCCCAAGCCCAGGGTAGGTGGTCTTCCTTGTCCATCTTTCTATCAGATATGTACACTACATTACGACAACTCACCCCTTAGAGACTTCAGCAGTTTTGAGTCTTGCTGTCCCTCTTCACCGTTGTCGCGTACAACGCCAGGCATTGGTTCGCCCAAGATGTCCGTCGACAATCTCACCTGCCTAGGTAACTTGAGGTTCCCCTCTCTTGTGCATCGCTCTGCTGCGTGACAACAACGAAGGCGAATCCACCTGCTAATGCACGTCTCTCCGAGGTAAGAAAGAGACATAGCGCAATGTGGGAGATGGAGATGATGGGACGGATCGTGATCTTGGCTTCAGCTCCAGCTCCAGCTGTTACCCCTCAGCGTCAGAGCTTCGTAACAAAACCACGACAGTCGACCAGCCTGCTTTTTCACCCAAACATCCAACACTAATCACAACAACAACAACAACAACAACAACAACCATCACCGGCAACCATCTTCACAGACGGACGGACGGCCACCAACCTCTCAAGATGAACACAGCCTGGGTTGGTGCTCGCTCGTCGGCGACACCCTCGCAACTTGACGCTCTTGCTCGCGCCATCCGCATCACGCCCATCATCGACCACCATGCCCATCCTCTCCTGAAGCTTGAAGCCCTCGCCAAACACCCTCTCCTGTCCATCACCTCCGAGGCACACAATGGAGATGTTGTCCACTCCGCCATCCACTCACTCCCCCATCTGCGTGCCGTCCGACAGCTGTCTGGAATGCTCAACTGCAACAACACATGGGAGGATGTCGTCGCCGCCATTGAGCAGAAGCGCATCGATTCGCCCTTGGAATGGACCGCCCAGTGTCTGGACGGCATTGAGACATTGCTCCTTGACGATGGGCTCGACGACGGAGACGATGCCCAGGACATGGTCTGGCACAATGACTATACCCGTAGCGAGTGCAAGCGAATTGTGCGTATCGAAAAGGTGGCTGCCGATATCATCAAGAGAATTGGAAAGACCTGTGATGCTTCGCCAAGGACCGGCCAGGATGTCTTGAACGATGCCTACGACGATTGGATTGGCGAGTTGGACACCATCATCAACGAAGCCATTGACGATCCCGATGTGGTGGCCTTCAAGTCCGTCATCTGCTACCGTACCGGCTTGCAAGTCGCCAGCACCGTCAACGAGGCTGAAGCTCGTGCTGCCTTTGCCGACATCATTTCCAACTTTGCCCTATTGGACTTTGCCAAGCTACAAGTGGCCGCTCTCAACGACTTGGTTGTTCACCGTACGGCCATGTTGATCCGCGATAGCCCATCCAAGCAGAAGAAGCCTATTCAGTTCCATACCGGCCTGGGCGACAATGACATTATACTTGCCAAGTCATCCCCAGCCCATCTGCAGAACTTCATCCGCGCCTATCCAACTGTGCCCATTGTACTCCTTCATGCGGGATACCCCTTTATGAGAGAAGTGGGTTATCTTGCCACTGTCTATGAGCATGTCTATGCGGATATCGGCGAGGTCTTCCCATGTGTTAGTGAAGATGGCCAGGAGCAGGTCTTACGACAGATCCTCGAGCTTTGCCCCTGGTCAAAGATCTTGTGGAGTACAGATGGTCACTGGTTCCCCGAGACCTACCTGCTTGCCGTCACCCAGATGCGTGAGGTGTTTACAAATGTGAGCTGGACAAATGTAGCTGCAGAAGACCAAGGCTAATAATGATCACCAGGTACTTACTAACTACGTCCGCAAAGGCCACATTGGCTACAAAGCCGCCATCGACCTCGCCCAGGACATCCTCTTCCGAAACTCCAATAAGCTCTACCATCTTGAAATAGACTTTATGGAGCTCGATGAAGAGCCCGGTGCCGAGGTCGGACCCTACGCAAGCGACCTTGAACTTTTCCAACTCTTCCTGAAGGACCAACCGCCTCCTGACTTTGTCCGTATATGCTGGAACGACTACACTGCAACCCCGCGAATGCGCATGATCCCCTTCCGCAAGTTCAAGACCCTGCTTGACCAAGGTCAGCCAACCGATATCTCCATCGCAAAAGCCGTGTTTGGTCTCATTCAGAACGATCATCTTGTCCCCTCCATCGCTCCTATTGGAGAGTATCGCCTGCACCCGGACTTTTCTTCGCTTCGCCCTGGTCCTACCGAGGGACATGTGAGCATGTATGGCGAGTTCCGGGAGAAGTCCGGTGCCCCCGTTGCCCTGTGTCCCCGGTCACTACTGCAGAAGGCCGTTGACTTGGGCGCTCAGAACGGATTAACCTTCTTGCTTGGGTTCGAGATTGAATTCCTTTTGCTCGAAAGAGTAGAGGGTACCGATACCTCGGCAACCCTGTCTTTGAACTCTTTGAATCCGTTCAAACACCGCCCAGCAGAAGCATCGGGTCGTTTCAGCACCTTGGTCACTGATGGTCACGCCTGGTCTGTGTCTCGCTACTTTGCCGACCCCAAGGTGGCCAACCTCTTGCGCGACATAGTTCATGCTCTCGACTCAATGGGCATCTACGTCGAGCAAATCCATGCCGAGTCCGCAACGGGCCAGTTCGAGCTCATCCTTCCTCCTTGCCCGCCCATCCAAGCCGTCGACACCCTCCTCCACACCCGCGATGTCATGTTTGCCCTCGCCACCGCTGCCGGCTACAAAGTCACTCTCCATCCCAAACCCTTCCCAACCGCATGCGGCACCGCCTCCCACACGCACATGAGCATCTCCTCACCCGGCGGCGACAAGCCGGAAGTGTACGAACCCTTCTATGCTGGCATCCTCAAGCACCTTCGCGCCATCACCGCCTTCACCTACTCCAACCCCGCCTCCTTCGAACGCCTCAAAGATGGTGCCTGGGCCGGTGGCCGCTGGGTGACCTGGGGCACTCAGAATCGAGAGACCCCTCTCCGCAAAATTGAGGGCTCACACTGGGAGTTGAAGGCCATGGACGGTTTGGCCAATCCTTACCTCGCCATGGCTGCCGTGCTACTGTCTGGTATCCACGGGTACATGGAACGGGAGAAGTTAATCTGGGGAGACTGCGAGATTGATCCCGCGAAACTGACGCCCAATGATCGGGCGGAGTTGGAGGTGACGGACATGTTGCCTGCTAGCGTGGAGGAGGCATTGACAGCGCTGAAAGGGGATGAGAAGCTTGTCGAGTTTCTCGGACCGGAGGTGGTGGAGAGATATTGTGCTGTCAAGGAGTTTGAGATGGCTTTCTTGGCGGAGATGGGAGAGGAGGAGAGGAGGAACTGGATTATGGAGAGGTATTAGGGGATCTTCTGAGTTCACGGAGGCGATGATCCGGTTGTTGTGTAGCTTACTGTGCAACCAGAAACATGTATCTCTCGGTAGTGGCGGAAGAATGCAATCAGAGAAAAAAACAGCCCAAAAGAGGCTTAAATATAAGGACGATACTAAAACACCGAACGTAACAGAAACGGAATTAAGGTGAATCATCACCGTCACATGTACACAAGCATCGTGGCTCTCGAGGCAAGTACTTCTTCAGATCTCTCAGCTCTTTGTCAAGTATTTAACTCGAAAGACACGCCTTACAAAGTGGAGTCAGTTTTTGCAATACCATACGACAAAGTAGGTATAATCAAGCAATGCAGCCTCTGGCCCATGACTATCAATACTAAAACTACATCATTTTCTATGCCCATCGTGAATAAACCTATTCAATTTCCTCAATGACCACTCACCTCCGCCTATCAGGCCACTTCATTTCTTCCACCCAGCACATTGGGATTGGGAATCAGCTCCCCTCTCCATATTGATATACCACGACGAATTCCACCCGGCCTTGCCAGAATCACGAACGGTAGTCAACGGCATGATAGCACACACACCAAAATGTACACGGTAGCACTCATCTCTTTTTATCATTGCTCTGGGGTAGAAATACAAGACCATGTATAATTTTCAGTATATGACACTCCGTATAAAAAAATATGTGCCCATCGTTGACATACGTCTAA